AAAAAAAACATCATAAATGTAAGGAACAGTTTTCAAACAAACTGCATTGAAAAATTACTGTAATATACTCAACAGAATTAAAGGGGTCATATGATGTTGTTAAAAAGAACATTATTTTGTGTATTTGGTGTAATGAAAAGTGTTTATGCGGTTTAAAGGTGCAGTAGGAGATCTTGGAAAATGCTAACTATAGCCTGATAGCACTGAAAGCGAACGTCCCACCCTCCCTGCAATCGCCGTCCAAAGCCACGCCCCCTGAACGCATATACGCTCACAGACCAGAATACCAGAGACAACATTACTAAGCTACATCAGCGGTTCCCAATTCCAGCCCATGTTCCGAAGTGAAGTAAACTTAAACGGGGTAGCAATGAACACTGTGTAGGGGGAGCAGCAATGAACACTGTGTAGGGATCATATCGATCAGAACACACTTCTAACGAGCTGGTTATCTGAATCGGGTGTGTTAACTAAGCGAGACTTGCAAAATATGCAGAGCGGGGGGCACGAGGACTGAAATTGGGAAACGCTGGGCTACATCATGTGTCATTCACCGATGAGAAAACTTTAAAAGTACTACAATACCAGGAAGCAAGATCGGGTTTGTTGATATTTGTCTGCCATTCTCGCTCTCTGTCTGCACAGCGTGCGTGAACGCGCTGGTGACGAATCCTGTCCGCGCAGAGGTATGCAGATACATACGTTGACAGGCAGGCAGGCAAGCGAATTAAAATGCTCGGACCGAGCGATTTGATTGGACGAACATTTCTTGGTCCTACACCTTCCACAGAATATATAAATACAGATAAATACATTTGGACCACTTAACTTAATGATTGCTACCAGGATGCGAAGAGACTTTCAACCAGCATAACAAAAAATGTTTCTGAAGACAATCACCTACTGCATCTTTAAGGTTCAAAAAACACATTATTTTCCACATACTATACATTATTGTTTCTCCTCAATGCCCCCCGCCTTTCTGAAACACGTCGATTTTTACAAAACTCATCAGTCTGAAAAGCGAGGTGTGCTCTGATTGGCCAACTATCCAGTGCACTGTGATTGGCCGAATACCTCAAGCATGTGATGGAAATGTTACGTCCATTACCATACTTTGATGTCCGGCCGGTGCGACGAGACAAAAACAGTAAAACCCATTATAAACAAGGCATTTGCTGCATCCAGTGGGGACATAATTATGGATTATAATGACATACTGTCTTTTTACGCGTTGCATCTGCATTGTCTGCATTTGTGATCGGAGAAATGACAAACAACAAATGCTACTCTACACTGCTCAAAACTCGCGTTTGAATCGTCAGTGGCAAATTCTTTAAATATATAAAACGTACTTGCAGTCTGTGAGTCAGAACAGCCGGCATTGTAGTCTACTCTTCCAGGATCAGGAAACAGTCCTCCATAAAATGCGCTGGACACATCTGAATATTTGGGTTGAACTGAACAGTGTTGTAAATACAACTTAACCACTGATTTCTAGTCGTGTCCTCTTTTGGAAGGCCAAACAAAGTAGCTTCACTTTCACAACGAAACACACGGCGGGCTACAGTGAGCGGAAGCTGGAGGCCTAGAGTGAGCAGAGACCGGCTTGAGTGAGTGGTGGCGGGCGGGCTTGAGAACGGCGCAGCCGGCAGATTCGACGAAGGAGTGTCCGGCGGGCTTGCGACAACCACATGTGACGACCCCGGGCTGGACTCCGCTTCGTCCACGGTGAAAGCCGATCCGGCGATCAGCTCCAGGCATGACGAAGCGGATATCATCCTCTTTCGGAAGGCCAAACAAAGTAGTTTCGCTTTCACAACAAAACACACAGCGCCATCACGACATCGCGGTGGCCGCAACAACAATACTACAGCGAGAATAAAAGTTACACCTTCTTTCTTTGCGTGAACATTTGTGCGGCGTTATGCAAATCTTCCCACATCGTGACGGAGACATGTGGGGGCGTGTTAGAACGAGCTGTTTTAGGTAGGCGTGGTTGACTCTTAAATTTTATAAAGAATATCTCTTTGGATTTGAGACTTTGCAACTT